GAAAGGTGAAAGGGTAGGGAATTGGTGTTAGAGATTTTCAGGTTTTGAAATCTTAAAAAATAGAGTAGTCTATATATTTTAGAGTTGTACCTTTAATTAAAAAGGCTACTAACATTTGCCCATATTATTTTCTTTGGATTTTACTTCACAAATTTAAGCCGTGAAATGCCTAGTAAGTTTTTGTTTTGTTTTATGTTACTTTGAACAGTAGGTATAAGTGACAGTTGGTTGCTATTTCTATAAAAATTCTTTGGCAGCCTTCTAAATCTGAGGTCATATTAGGGTGAGTTTGGCTTCTCTTACTGTGCTAGGCTTAGTAAGAGATTGTATTTTAATTAACACAGTGAATGGTTCTGGCTTTGCCTTTTGAATCTGGGTTTGGTTTCAGGATATTTAAAAATATCTTAATGCTCTGAAAGTAGACAACTATCCCATGCTACAAATAGTTGTATTAACCTGTTCGTTCCAGCAGCTTGCTTTTCCTGAAGGACCTGCACCATCTGCTCTTTTTTCTCTTTTGTATTTTTCCTGTGTTTACCTACAAGATGTTTTATTTAAGTATGAGTGTTTGGTCTACCATATTAAATAGTTAAATATTAGAATTAAATAATTACCTTTTATGAATAAAATTTAAGGAGTTCCTGATTTAAAGCAAAAAATAAAGGAAAAATTAAAATGTTTTTAAATAGACTTTGGTTACCACGTCTTTTATCTTCCTGTTAACTGCTTTCACAATGTATTTGTGGTTAGGCAGAATTACATAACTTTGCTCTGTGTTTTGATTGTGTGTTGTAGATTTAGAAATAGTTTTTTGTTTTGTTTTGTTTTTTTGCTTTTTTGTGAGGAAGATTGGCCCTGACCTAACGTCTGTTGCCAATCGTCCTGTTTTTTTTGCTCGAGGAAGATTGTCACTGAGCTAACATCTGTGCCAAGCTTCCTCTATTTTATGTGGGACACCACCACAGCGTGGCTTGACGAGCAGTACTAGGTCTGCACCCGGGATTTGAACCTACGAACCCTGGGCTGCCAAAGCGGAGTGTGCAAACTTAACCACTACACCACCAGGCTGGCTCACGGAAATAATTTTGATAATGTAGTATGTTATACCTGAGCCACAATAAAATGGCTTTTTTTTGTTTTTTTAATGTAAATTGTTATTCTCTATTCTGATAGTTCATCTAAATTACTTTATTATAAAGAGTATGACATGATGATACCTATTTTTTATAGTTGTTGAAATAACCAGTTACTGTTTCATATGAAAGGGGATAAACTGATCTTCTTTTTGGAGGAAAGGATACTGCAGTCTTGTTTCTGTATTATTACAAAATTAATTTTCAGTGAATCAGTTTGTAACTCAGTTGGCAGGAGTAGAATACTGTTGAGATGAAAAGGTCTTTATTTATGTGATTTCTTATGTGCTTAGTCTTTTGAAAATGGAGTTGATCTAATTGTCTGTTTTTATTTCCTATTCCCATATGGCCCATTGTCTCCTCCTGGAAGAAAACCTTTTCACACCTTTACCTTTGGCCGTCTTGCTTACTCTTGGTCACAGCTATTGGTGCTGGTTAATTTCAAACCCACTGTGTGAAGGGAAGAAGATAATTTTGATTGCCAGTTAGAATTCGTTCTAAAATAAACCTCTTAAATGTTTTCTCTTTTGAATTTCCTTATTTAAATTTGTCTTGTTTATGACCATTATGCAATAAAATTTGCATGCGTTGCCAAACCGAAAAGCCAAATATCCAAAAACATGCTAGAAAGCTGGTTAACAGCTTTATTGCCAACAAAATGTTTTTAAAATTAAATCTACCAATTTCAATTGCAAATGTTTTTATTCAGAAGAGATTAAATTGCCCATTGTGACATTTAACCTGCTTTCTTCTCCTCTTTTTTATAAATCACATAGTGAATAAAAATGGTAGCTGAAATATTCTTTTTTTTTTTTTAAAGATTTTATTTTTTCCTTTTTCTCCCCAAAGCCCCCCAGTACATAGTTGTATATTCTTCGTTGTGGGTCCTTCCAGTTGTGGCATGTGGGACGCTGCCTCAGCGTGGTTTGATGAGCAGTGCCATGTCCGTGCCCAGGACTCGAACCAACGAAACACTGGGCCGCCTGCAGCGGAGCGCGCGAACTTAACCACTCGGCCACGGGGCCAGCCCCTGAAATATTCTTTTTTAAAACTGTATTTGTCTTTAAAAAATAATAGGAAAACTATTAAAAGTTGCTAAAATTTTACTAACTCTATCTTTTTCTTGAGGACTTTTTTATTTACTCTGATGAAAATGCACTGTGTTTTGCTTGATGTTGTAAAGTAAGTTTGATATATTTGAAAAGGGACAGGTTTTGGAACCATAGAAGCACAGCTTCAAATTTCAGCTTTGCCATTTTTATTTACTAGGTCTACAGTCGGTAACATAGAAATTTACTAAATCTCTGTCAGATTTTCACATTCATGTTATGGGAGTAATGATACCTGCCTCATAAAGATTGTATTTTCTCATTTAACCCTATTCTGTAAAGCTTTATGCCTAATACTTAGCATGTAGTAGGTGCTCAAAAAAATATTCTCCTCCCCTTTGCTTTCTTCATTGTTTCTTTGATATTCAAGCCTTTCTTTATCATTGATTAAACTTGCGTGTCTGCAAGTTGCTGATTAAATTATTGAAAAGACCAGCCCGAATACATTTAACTGTAAGCTGTACTTTGAAGTAAAAGGAAATTGCTACCAGGATTTACTTGTAATACAAATTACTTCTTTCATTATCTGTCTGTGAAACTAATTAAATCAAATATTTTATGTGTATCACAGAATAAGCTAGGAACTCTCTTATCATCCTTTGTTCAGTGACATCCTGTGCGTCCCCTTTAGTGAGTCCATTTAGAATCCATTAAAGTATGAAAAATAGCATGGCTGACATTGCAGACATGTAAATCACAAACATAACAGAAGTGGAGCAGAAGATGAAAACGTTTATCTACCAGTAAGGTCCTCCATCTCCCAGATGAGCAAGGTAGCAATTAGAATAATAGTTTGAAAAAAATTATTTATCTTTTTTCCACTTTCTGATTAATAAAGGTGATGTTTTCTTACTATGCCTGGAGGTTTATAATGCTCTAGGCGAGGAGTTCTTAAATTTCAGCGAGCTTCAGAACTGCCTGGAGGGCATGTTCTAAAGATTGCCTCCAAGGGTTCTGACTCAGTAGGTCTGGAGTAGGGTCTGAGAATTTGTATTTCTGACAAGTTTCCAGGTGAACTGATCTTATTGCCCTGGACCACACTTTGAGAACTACTGCTCCAAGGGTATATAGAAGAAGTGGGGATGAAGCAACAGGTAGAATCAGACTGATTTTTTTGCCTAAGAGTTTTCCCTCAATTCAGAAAACTTTTTTCCCCCGTACCTTCTATGTGTCTCATACTGAGGTGTCATCAAGCTTCACATGTCTTAGACTTTCAGACCATAGATTTTTTGGTTTACTGAGGGACTCTACTGGCTAAGGAGCTCTTTCTAAAAAAAAAAGACTAGTGAAGAAACGAGGAAAGGTCGTCAATTTTGTTGTCTTTCCAAACCTCTGTCTTCATGTCATAGCAATATTTTATCTTTTACTAATTTTAATGCAAAAGCATTGGCTCCTGTAATTCTGCCTTAGGTATCTATCCTAAGGAAGTAAATTTTGAAGTATGATTAGTAAAGACAAAGAGAAATTTATCATAGCATTATTTCTAAGTAGGGAAAACGTAGCTCCTACACAGAATTGTATTACGAGGTGATTTTAAAGTAAATTGCATATGTATGTATGTGATAGCTAATTTTATAGTCAAATTTTGCTTATGGAGAGAAATATTTTAAAGGTAGAAAATGCTTGATATGCAATAATTACTTTATGTAGGGATGTTGCTCAAATTTAAGTAAAACTGTATGTGTTACGTATTCTTAACTATGTGAAGTTTATAGAAAAATGAGGAAATACGTCAAATTACATGTATCTTTAGAAGATGAGATTATGATTGATTGGTGTTCTTTTCTGTATTTTGTAATGTATCCATGAAGGGGTATTAGTCTTATAATGAAAATGTTCATGTTATATATTTATTTGTGTATATATATTTCAAGTTTTAGTCAAAATATGGAGAGAAGAATATATATACAAGTGTATAGCTCAGTGGAGTTGTACAAACCAGCACTCATATCTAGAAGCAGAATGTTACGAGTGCTCCTGAAGCCTGCCTTGTGTCCCCTTCCGAGGGTAATTGCTATCTTGACTTCTAACAGCATAGATTATTTTTATCTGTTTTTATGCTTTATTTATGGAATCATGCAGTACTCGTTCATGACTAGCTTCTCATCCTCAACTTTGTTTGTGAGATTCATCTGTATCTGGTTGTAGTTGATCCTTTCTCATTGCTGTATAATATTCCATTTTATGAATGAACCATAATTTGTTTATTCATTCTAATGTTATTGGGCATTTGGGTAGTTTTCAGTTTTGGGATATTACAATTAGTGATCTCATGAACATTCTAGTCCATGTCCTTTGGTGAACAGGACATTTACCTAGGATTGGAGTGGTTTGGTTAGAGAATACATGTGCTCAGCTTTAGTAAATACTTCCAGATGACTTTTTCCAAAGTGATAATACCAATTTACACTGCCACCATCAGTATATGAAGATTCCCTGTTGCTCACATCCTTGCCAGTACAGTCTTGTGTCACTTCATGATGGAGATAACATTGTGAAAAATGAGTCATTAGGCAATTTCGTTGTTGTATGAACAGCATAGAGTATACTTAACACAAACCTAGATGGTATAGCCCACTATACACCCAGGCTCTATGGTGCTAATCTCACAGGACCACTGTTGTATGGGCAGTCCATCATTGATGGAAAGGTTACGCGGCATGACTGCAATGTCCTGTAATATGACGTCTAATGAGATTTGCTGTGAGTTTCTCAAGTGCACTTTTGTAATTGAATTTTATTTTCCTATTAACTTCAGTTATAAATTTGAAGATATGTTCTCATGTGAAAATCCTTCCGGACACATTTAAATTTTTTGGCAAAACAAGTAAGTTAATAGAGTCTGTTGGCTGTTGTAATCAAGAACATTGCTAGACTCAAATAAAATAATATTTATAAAGTGCTACACTGATTTTTGCGTTACTTTTAGAGCTTTAATAATTTTGAAATGTTCTTAACATCTTGGTTTTCTTTCTGTTTTATCCGCGGATACCTTTATCCCTGACTCTGCATGTGTAGTTCTCAGAATCTATTCCATTCTTCCTATTGCCTGAGTCCTTAGAACAAGGCGGAAAGCACAAAACAATTCAAAAACTCTCCACAAAAAACCAATTGTGTATATAGATAAATTTATAAATATATAATATAATTTATATATATATATAAAATTTTATTAGCCTCGTTGGTGTTTTAAGACAAAGTAGGACTTGTATCTAGCACAACGCTCAATTTGTTGAGTGGATGGAACAATGACAAAATTCTGCTGTCAAGCTTTTTTCTTTTCAGGTTTTCTTATAGCTTCCACTTGTTGTCCCCTCCCCTCCAATTTTGGAACTTTAGTTTAAAAGGGAGTATTTGAGATGAATAAGAGAAAATTGTTATTAGTGAAGTTTTTCAAAGTGAAACTTTCTTTCAAGATAACCCCATAAGGACAAGTCAGAAAGGAGAAAAGTAAATCATGAAATCACTGGAAATATTACACATTTTAGAGATTTTTTTTTTTGTAGTTCTAATGTGGGGGGAATCTATTCAACTTCTCATTAAAATAAAAAAAAGCATTTTCTTTATATTAATTAAGATGTATCAGTGAAATAAGAAATTCTACAATATATATTTGTTACTTATGAACAAAGAGGAGGAAAATAAAAGAACTTCCAAAAAATGAGGAAAGAAAGCTGGAGGCCAAGAGATTAGGAACAATGAAACTGTGTTTGAGTAGCATCTGTTATCCCAGATGATATTAAAGAGTTTTGTGTTGAATGTTTTTTTCTCAACTCTCTTCTACTCTGGATCATAAAATTTTATAGAGTATTGTTTAGTTAGAAAAGACAGCTAATCCTCTAGAAATTGTTGATTATTTTGCTGGCCAGTTTTTAAAGCTTTCCTTGGTTTTTGGTTCCAGATCTTTAAACCTCCCCACGAAGCAAGCCAGTTGTTAAGAAATGTTGGATTCAGTTGTTGGAAAATCTTGAACATGTGTGTTAGAGTGGCTACAGAGAAAATGCATGGGCCTTAGGCCCGAAACTTCAGAGCTTTGTTTAATATGTATATCAGTTTTATATAATTGGTCAAAGCATATATGTAAAACTGCTCCCTAATTCTATGGACAAATAGCTGAATAACTGTACCTTTATTCTGTAAAATCAGCTTCTCAAATTTGAAGATATTCTAGATTTTATTTTTTTGATCACTATGTTCTCTCTTTTAATATCTAAGATTGGTATACCAAGGTAATTTTTAAATGAATTGGATATTTAAAAAATAGAATACTTTAAAATATTAATTTACATAGAAAATTCTAAAAAGTATGGGTTAGATTAGTGAATTATACTATCCGGGAGATGTAATCCTTTTAAGGCAATGTCCTTATCTCAGTTTCTATGAAATTTGAATTGGAAATCTGGTAAGAGAATTGTGACTCTTTTGCAGGCTATAGGGGAGAAGTGACATCTGATATACCTGGAACACAGACCTTAAAGGATTCCGACTATAGACACATCTCAGCTCAGTTAGTATTGAACTGACCTGAAAAATATGTCATAATAGCATGACCTCTGAGATGGTTTGGATGGAAAACTTTATTATAAAGCCAAGGGGGTAGTCAAAGAAAATTTCTAGCATCTCCCTGCAGCCATATTTAGTTCACAGTTATTAACCCCTTCCCTTCCAACTTATCCTGTATTTTTGGAAAAGAAGGGAAATGTCTTTCTCTGAGATTTTTATTTATTATTTATTTTTTGAGGAAGATTAGCCCTGAGCTAACATCTGCTGCCAATCCTCCTCTTTTTGCTGAGGAAGACTGGCCCTGAGCTAACATCCGTGCCCATCTTCCTCTACTTTATATGTGGGACGCCTGCCACAGCATGGCTTGCCAAGCAGTGCCATGTCCACACTGGGGATCTGAATCAGTGAACCCCGGGCTGCTGAATCGGAACGTGCGCACTTAACTGCTGCACCATTGGGCCGGCCCCTCTGAGATTTTTCTATTCATATTAGATAGTTGGAATGTAATCACTTTAACTCAGACTTAATCTATTGGAATAAAATAATTTCTGGAATTCAGAGCACAACTTCTTTCATGAAAGTACTCTTAGAAATTCTGGATTAGTTGATTAACCACAGTTCACAGCTCTTCAGTTGCACGTTATCCTTAAATTTCAGAAATTCCTTTCTGAATGGGAGAGTCAAAACAAACGACCCAGCAACAAATGATTTCCTTTATTTTATCTTATTTTTTTGAGGAAGATTAGCCCTGAGCTAACTACTGCCAGTCCTCCTCTTTTTGCTGAGGAAGCCTGGCCCTGAGCTAACATCGTGCCCATCTTCCTCTGCTTTATATGTGGGACGCCTACCACAGCATGGCGTGCCCAGCGGGGCCATGTCCGCACCCGGGATCCGAACCGGCCAACCTCAGGCCGCCGAGAAGCGGAACGTGTGAACTTAACCGCTGCGCCACCGGGCCGGCCCCACAAATGATTTTGTTGGTTGAAAAAGCCATATCAGTTCTTAGCACACGTGAAATCAAGCTGAAAGCCATGGCTAATCCAAGATTGGTGTTTTCATAGCTTTGCTAATTTTCTCTATTATTTTGCTTGTATTTCTGTTTTCACACAGTTCTCTCAAATGATTAAGCTGAACTCAGAGAAGTATTTTTTATTTTGCTGTTTTAAAAAGGTCTTATTTTGTTTCAGAAAGGATGCGCTGTCATTAGTAAGCTTTTTGTTATCCTGTGGCGGCCATGGAAATACACCATTCAGATCTCCTTCCGGTGGGAGGCATAATTGACTGACAGTCACAGCTGTGGCCATTCTCGCTGTGAGGCCGCCCACGCTAGTTGCGGCTGCTCTCAGCAATGAGTGGGCATGATGGGGTACTAGTGTAGGCCCGGTCGGGCGGCCGCAGCACTCCGCTAATGGGCAGAGCATTACTTATCTATTGCTGCCTAACAGGTTACCCTAAAACCTAGCAGCCTAAAACAACAAACGTTACTATCTCACACAGTTTCTGAGGGTCAGGAGTGGCTTCGCCAGGTGACCCTGCCTGAAGGTCTCTCATGTATTGTAGTCAAGCTGTCGGCCAGGGCTCTGTCGTCTGAGGGCTGGACTGTGGCTGGAGGATCTACTTCCAAGATGGCTTACTAACACGGCTCTGGGCAGCAGCCCTCAGTTCCTTACTGGCTGCTGTCAGGAGCTTTCAGATCCTTGCCACATGGGTGTCTCCATAAGCCAGCCACTAAGACACATTTTCAACTGATATAAATTTGTTGGGGACAAGTAATAATTCAGTTGTCATCTTAGGTATCATTTCCTCTGAGATACTTTTCTAAACATCATTCCCACCTAGGGTTGCCAGATGTAGCAAATGAAAATACAGGACAATATTTGGGACATTCTTGTACTAAAAAAGTATTCACTGTTTATTTGAAATTCAAATGTAACTGGATGTCCTGTAGCTCTCTTTCCACCCTCTCTGGGTTTATTTTGTCCTGGCTATGCTCCTGCGGCACCCTGTGCTATCCCATTTCTGCGTTCCTGGACTATATCTTGTCTATTTAGTTGTCAGTATCTTCTCACTAGGGTGAAACTTCCCTGTGGGCAGGAACTGTGTCTTGTTTATTTTCTTCATGCTAGAGCCCCAGTGCTGAGCACTGTGCCTGACCTTGTGGGTACTCAATAAAAATGTGTGGGCTGTTCAAAAAATGAAAACACTCAGTCGTATAATTGCATGTATTTCTTCTCTCCTCCATCTTTTCTTCCTGTTCATCATCATTATCAGGATGAATGTCAGGGGAATGCTACTGCAGATAAAGGGCTAGGAATTCCAGCATTCAGAAATTTACTTTATCACTTTACATGTAAGCTTTAGTTTCCCTATTAATTGCTGGAGGTGATGCCTGTTTCCTGCCTACCTTAGATGATGTCTGCCTCCTAACTACCTTGAAAGAAAACCAAAAATTATGGAGCCTCCTATTTTCTAGGAACTGTGCTAGCTCAATAATCAGATGCTGAGCTTTTAATATAGTGGTAATAGGTTTTAAGTAGCAGTAAAGACGTGGAGTAAAATAGCTCTGAGTATGAATCTTAACCTTGTCACATACTAATGGTGATTACTTGGGCAGATTACTTAATTGTGTTTCAGAATGTCAGTTTACTCAGCTGTAAAACAAGAATAATAATCTTGTCTCTAAAACAGCTACCTCATAAAGGCTATTGTGAGGATTCACTGATAAAACATGTGCTCTTGCCCAGCAGTATGCCTGTTTTTGGTACATGGTAGGTACCTAGCGAGGCCCTGATGAAGCTTCTTGGTCCTGCCATGATGTAATTCCTTGTTATTCTGCCTTTTGATTTTTGGGCCATCATAATTCTGCCGATTGTAGATTCTCAGTCAAGCACATATACCAAGTATCTGAACCTGTGATTTCTCTCTTACTGAGATGGATTACTATGGCAACACCACATCAGAAGAGTAAAACTAACGTGCTTTATATTAGTCTAAAATAGCTAATTTTCTCCATATGTAATGCCTATTGAATCCTGTTCCCAGTGATAAGAGACTACACTGAAGGATCAAAAATGAATGTTTCTCTGCTTGGTTATCTGCCACAAACCGGTTATCCCTGTGGTAACTTTTCTGATATCTCCTGCTTAAAACCCGAAAGATAAGAAGGCTCTTGAGATCCCATTTTCTCAGTGTGTGGTTCTTCTGAGAAATCAAGTTCAAGTCTAACGTTTGGCCATTTGCTCCCCAGGAGGTTTCTGTTCTTACTGGCCTCATATGTGTTAGAGTTGCTGTTTGTACCACCTCAATGTCCCCGACACTCTCTTT